GAGCGTAAGACAACTCTCTGAGTGTGACATTTACAGTAGAGCCATCCAAACACAACAACAGAATAAAGATGGTACATACTTTATGTGAAAATACAAGCATTCATGGCTTCAGGTCTCTATGACACTTAGAAAGCTCTCAACTTTCTAATCTTTTATTTTACCATAACTTCAGATTTGCATATATTATTATTGTGAGATATTGCAATCTTAGTCACGATGCAATATATTTCATTCAGCTTCATTATTGTACATAAGATTTATTTAGTTATATTGTATTTATTGTCACATAACATGACATATTTCTAAGGATATGTTTTTCTCTAATCTTATTTTTGTGTCATTATGATTTATTCTGCAGCCTCAAAACTAAATTGTCCGTCTGGGATTAATAAAGTTGTATCGTTTTGGATCCCTCCTAATTATCAGTAATGAAAATAAAGTATAAATACAGAAAATATAAGAAAGACAAGAAGGGTAGATCTTCCCTCTGTGTCCACACCAAACCCAACGCTTGTCTATGAATGTGTCCAGCTCTGTGCATGAGTGTGATGTTGATGTCAGAGAGGGTCTCTTCATTTGAGAAAACACAGTGGCTCAATGGGAGTCTTTCCTGTTTATGGCTCGTCCTTTTTAATAGAGTTGATTCTTTCTTCCCATGCTAAAATTCAACTTTGACACAGGATGTGAGTTTCTGAATGATGTCTGAACCATCCATGAATAGCAGCAGTCAGATTTTCACAGTCTTTTTTTCTGTTTTGTTCCTTTCTTCCGTCACCCCCAGAGGTTTTATCTCACGAGAAAGTCCAGTTTATTTTTTTTAAACAGACGCACTGGAATATTGATGTAGAGACTTTCTGAACACAGAAAAACACTCTTGATATAGTTTAATAATTATATAATTCATCCTAGAGGATAGTGTTATGTTTCAGATATGTAGTGCATTTACATCAATCTGCTTTTACTTTTCATAATGAAGCAGTTTGTTTTAAGATGCCGTCATAATCATCATATACTGCCCCCTAAAGGGCACTGACAGCCTTTATTATTCAGTTTTCCTTGAAAATCAGTTTAAGCCAAGGTCTGTAGGTGTGTGGGGCTTCCGTGAAAATGTGCCCAAACATAACATACGTAAAAAGATATTTGAAGCAGAAGTAATGATCTGCTTATTTATTATTGACCCGTCTCCCGTACCCAGACGTCCTCCCTGTGACCATGATCATGGTGACATTTGCACAATATTCTCCAGAAAATGTAGGCCTACAGATCGCATTCCTTTGACTGTTTCGTCAGTCAAACATATGGCTGAACTCAGAATAGCATATTAGCTTACTATTTCTGCCATATAAAAATATAGCAGATATAGAGTTCTGCAGTGATGACGTCGCAGCCTATTATTGTAGGCCAACATGGAAGTTAGCATCACCCTGATTCCATCGACAAAAAGACATTCAGGGTTTTTTTTTCAACTGGCTTTTGGATTATTGCAGAAAATATGATCTGTGACAAACAAAAGTTTCATGATCATGATAATCTTCACAAATTAACACAACGTTAATGAATGTTGAGGCCTAAATACAAACCCAGAAGTAAGCTAAATTTAGGCTATAAATTAACTATACAATGTTTGTCCGACTTCAGTGTCGCCATTATTAAGCTTCCGAGACTCTTTCCATCTTTATTTAAAATCTGCAAGTTGGAAAGTTTGAATTAGAATAGTTTGCAAAAGCACGACAAGTTTCCCTGCTCGCCGTGATGACGTTTAATATCCCAGATAAACTGTGGTTATGATTTGGTGGTGACTTTGCTGAATTCAAAATTCAGTACTCGACTCAAATTCAAAAACGACTCATAGGGACCTTGTTTCTATAAATACAACAATTTTAGTATTCAGCACAAAATAACACAACGCATTAAATGTGATGCCAAGAGCTAAACTCACACCAAGTCAATTGCAACCGAAAGTAGTAAATAGTGTGCATGCTTATTATAATTATTACGTAATCTGCAGGCATGCAGCTCAAAAAGTTGGCTGTTAGGTGTTTTCCATTGAGTTGATCAGCGAGTCTTTGGCAAGAACCGCCTTACAATCAGATAATATCAAATATCATTTTCTTCTTAAGAAAAATCAAATGTTCTTAAGGCAATATTTGAGAAATTCTTACGAATTTCTGTACTTCCTTCTTAAGGTCGTCATGAAACGGAGGTTGCGAAAGTCTTTTCTTTCCGATCAGAGAAGAGAATTCGAGATGACGCTACAAGAGGGAGGGGGAAGCTATTTTGATTAAAGATTACGAGAGCACAATGAATTTAAAAAATAAAAATAATGACGTGCATGGATAAATCATTTAGAATAAATACTGCAATATTTTGATTTCATGGTGACTTTAAGAAGATTTTCGTAAATCCGGCCCCAGGACAGATTAAAGTAAAAGTGCACATGCATACCCACACATGTATACTTGAATATGATTGGAGCAGCAAAAATTGAAACCTGTTATTTAAGATGGGAAATTATGAGCATTTCTCACTTGCTTATACCGCTTGTCAAGCGTCCCCCCGCTGGAGTTTGGGGTGATAAAGAATTTGTGCCAAGATCTCAACACAAACCTACATGATCTATGATTAGTTTCCAGATCTGTATAGACATAAAATAGAGGAAATGGAGGCCCAGCGGAGCCCGTCTCCTGCTTTAGCTCTGCCCACTCGCTTTAGTTCACATGCCGTTCCCCCACAGGCTCTGTGTAAACACTCCAGGATCTGCTTTAAAACAGCCCAGAGGAGCAGAACGACCAAATCAGCCACAGATGTTTATACTGCCGCCCAGCTGCTGCCCTGAACAGGAAGTGGCCATGGCCAGAGCAACTTAACTCATCGCTAAATGTGGCTGTAAATATTTTCTGTTTGGGGGAACATGAGAAAAGCCACACTAATTTCTTCTCAATCCTTTTTCCAAGTCTTGTAGGAAGTTCAAGGCACTAGGAGGAGAGCGAGAGGTCAGTTCGGCTTAGCATGTTCTGTGGGACTTCCATGCGCAGCTTCCTGTCAGTTCTGCTTTCCCATGAGCCTCATGGTCCATAAAAAGACCTCGTATCTTATCTTCCATAGCTTCATTAACCTAACGAAAACAATTACGGACCACGAGTCGGCACAGATGGTTCTTATAAAGCGAGTGCACTGATCTGACGGGAACACCTTCTGAGAAACAGTCGGAGAAATCTGAGAAGGGAAGTTTTGGAGGGAGACAAAACCTTTCACGTCTACAACGTATAACCTATCAAGTCCAAAACCGTGTCCAGAAGTATTTTGGTGCCTAAGATATTTCCTACCGAGATCTATTATATTGACCTTTAGATTTCCAGATAGGAACAGAATGCTTTTTCATGTTTTCTGGAATGTGTTTTTCTTCTTCTCCAATACGAAATTGAAGCTTTAGTTGTAAATCATAACTCGGTAATTTCACTGATGCCACTATTCATTTAAAAACGATTTAATTTCAGTATACACTCAATATTTGTATTTCTGATCACCGCGTCTTTCTGAAAACATTTGAAAAATTCCATCTTTCTTAAGCTCATATTCAGCCACTTAAATGGAATTAACAAAATGCTGTGTCAATATGTTAACAGGCTAACTGTGGCGTTGGGGCTCTTCAGGTGGCCTGTGCCTAGAAACGACCCAGGCCATGTCATTCCAAAAGCCCATTAGTAGACCAGACCGCACGGCTATTTGAGCGGGAGAAGTATATGATTGCTCATACCTTTCAATAGGAAAAACAATCTTCCCAATAAGAACAAAGACATAGACACTAAGACATAGGTGAAAATTGCATGAAAACATCACTCAGTGCTCCAGAGAGTACCTCAGAGAGAATTATAGGTAGTCGGGAAGCACCGGGAGGCTGTGGAGAGATAATAACCTCTACGACACAATTACCTGCTCCAGGCTTTCAAGATCAGTAATCATCCCATCAAAAACAGATTCCCTTTGTGTTCGCTGAATAAATCCCTGGCTCCTCAGCCTGATGGAAGCCTTCCAGAGTATGAACCGCATTCAGTAGGTCGTCCACACACCTCATAAAGGAAAAATATGGGACAAAATTGGAACTGAGAGGACCTGATGCACAAGAGGGATAGGCGTGTAATGATGTTAAAGTGCCTGAACTGGTGATAAGATCAAAATGATTCTCCACAGGACGTCACAAGACCTTTACGGTGATCTATAAGTTCTGGCTTTATATTGGCTGTCTGAGATGGGTTTTGTGGTGTCTGCACTTCAGTGTTAAGCTGCTTAAGGAATTCAAGTCTTTTTGAAAATGGATTGAAATGATATAGTTCTTTCATGGAAAGATGTGCCAACTGGAAGTAGACACATTGGATATAGTTGTTTGTAGTATTGACAACAGCTAAAAATCATTTCAAATATGCAATGTTTTTTTCTTCTTCTCATCAATAGATCATTTGGATATATTTGCATGACGTATTTTGTGGACCGAGCCTACCTGGTGGCAGAAAATGACAGTTCTACTGCAGAAGTCTATGGAAGCTACTGAACAAAATTGTAAACAAGGTCATTTTGAGATTATATCTCCCAATTCTGACTTTATTCTTGCAATTTCGAGGTTATATCTCACAAGTGTTTTCTATTTTAATATCTATTTTAAAATATAATTTATCCTAAGCTACATTTTCAGCTTTCTAATGTGCTGATTTTGTGTTTAAGAAACAGTTCTTATTCATGTTGAAAACAGTGGAAATCATGATATGCTCGTCCCAGGTCCAGTGTTTTTCAATTGCTTGATTATTGAAAAAGAAAAAGCCATCAAATACACAGCCCTTTAGCGCCCCCTGCTGCACATAAGAGTACTTACACTCTACTAGGGCATTGTTACATTTTCAGCAGGTTTTTGTCTGGCTTAAACAATATTTTGGTGTTTGGATATATTACAAGGCACCTTTTAAGAATTTCAAGAATCCTGATAGGGATTACAATGGAGATGTAAATATTATTTAAAAAACTATAGTTTATTGTTTCAAATTATACTCATCTATACAGAGACAAGAGGAAAATCTCAAAGAACATAAAGACAGAAATTTCTATAGATCAAAGGGAAAAAAACAAATAGAGGAAATGGACACAAATTATGATCTAAAGACACTGAACGACAGAAATGCAGCCCTGTTAAATTTTGATAGTGGTCAAAGTAATAAATAAAACTTTTCTATCTCATGACAAGTTCATTCCAGCGTAATATGAGGTTCCCACTACCCAGTAGGACGATTCAATCTGTACAAGGAAGAGATTAAAAACAAACACAGATAAACATACATATGACCTCAGAGTGGCCACTGAGGTTTCCACAAACACAGTTTAGCACTGGACTTCTTCATTTTCAGTCTCTACTAAAAATTTCCGAAAGCAAGTGGCATCAAGTGTTCTCTGTTTATCACCAGGTCACTGCAGATGAAAATCCCCCTGAAACTGGTCAGATGCACAGTAAAACCGGTCTCAGCGATGGCCAAATAGAACCACTTCTCTTATTGAATTTGCTGTAAATAGTTGCTTCCCATATTGCATTTTTTTGGCAGGCATCAAATGTTAGATGTTTTATTCCAAGAAACCATCCAGAGTGGTCAGGCTGGAGGTGGGCTTGCTTGTAACGGGCCTGGAAACCTTCTTCCTCTTGGACTTCATGGCGAGGGGTCGAATCTCAGATAGAGGAGACTGGTGCACATACTATAATTAAGGAAATCTTATGAAAAAAAGCAATAACTCAAATCAAATTATTTCCATGCATAATAGTAGCAATATAACTATTTTCATGGGATAAGGATACAGGTTGGATAAATTTCGCTCTTCCTCCAAGTCCATCATAGCCGGATCTTACCTGGAATAAAAAGCAAGATACATGAAGGCAAACTGCACAAAAACAACAAAACAGACCCAAATATACATTAACATGTAAAGGTTGGAGTCAGTCAGATTTATTAAAGAAAAAAAAAATGGTTTCCAACCAAATATTAAGCAGCATAACTGATTTCAATATTGATAATAATAAGAAATGTTACTTGAGCAGCAAATCATCATATTATAATGATTTCTGAAGGATCATGTGACACTGAAGACTGGAGTAATGATGTTGAAAATTCAGCTTTGCATCACAGGAATACATTTTTTAGATATTCAAAAAAATATATATATAATATTTCACAATATTACTGTTCTTACTGTATGAAATAGATGTATTCATGGTGAGCATAAAAACTACATGAATGGTTTTGGAGAATAAGTTACAAAAACATATATGTCTCTCACAGTGCCAAATTTGCATGGGTCCAGCATGCTCCCAAAGGCGTTCTTTCTGAAGAGCAGCGAGTTCCTTAACATGGGCCCCATGACATCATCTTCTTTAACACGACCATTCTAGGAGCAAAAACACAGACATGCAAATATTACACCCTCCATCTAATCCAATGTCATATTCTTCAACACCAAGACAGCCCACTTGAACACATACACTACGTCCGTGTGCATTTTCCATGTTGTCGGATAAGGGTCTGTGGAAAAATGAAAACAAAAGGATATCACTAAAATTCAGATGAACAGTAACTAATCAGTACAGCGCAGAAACTCACGCCGAAGGGTCCAGACGAATCTTCTTAGACAGGGCCTGAACGGGTTTCTTCTCCACCTGTTTAGGTGTGTTGATGTCAAAGGTCAAATTCAGGTCAATTTCCTGAGAGTCTGTCATCGGACCATGACCAGGAGGCTTCAGCTCCAGAGGAGCAGGGCTAGAAATGCAGGAATAAACATCTCTTTCAGAACAGAGGATCTATCAAATCAATTTAAAAGTATATGACCTACCAAAGGGAGGATTTAGTTCAAATAAAAGTCATTTCTGACCTTTCAAACACCAGTCTGCTGATGGCCTCATTAGTGCGAGTTGGAGTGCTTAACGTCCGCTGAAGAATTTCCACTTTCTTCTTCAGGCTCTGCAAAACATCAGATATCAAACCAGGAGTTTAGAAACACAGCTGTAAGGGTCAGTTAGGAATAACTGCCATTCAATTCAGACACAAGAGTGTGCATCTTGTCAAAGTATTTTGATACTCATTATAAATGCATTGTTCCAGAACAGTAAGATTTCTCAGTTCATCTTTCCCTTGAATTTCATTTGCATACAAATTATGTAACTTTTAACCTTAAAACACTCCAAACTGGAAAAACAATCAATATAAGCTATAAGGGTGTTTGTACATATTTTATATAACAAAAGTGTGACTTTCTAACAGTGATCTCTTTGTCTGCGTTGGACAGGTCATTCTGAAGTGCCTTCATGTCCTCCTTTATCCTGTTTGTCTCTTTAGTGGCTTTCTGCAACTGCAGTAAAAAATATATATATAAATAAGAAAGTGATCATATAAATAAATAGATTCTAAAGAAAACTATAAAACAATCAATAAGCAATTATACATTTTAAAATCATATTTTTAATGTATAGTTTCACAGAAAAGAAAGAAAGTAACCTTGCTGTTAGAAGAGAGCAGTTCCCTTTTTAGCTTCTCACACATTTCATTTGTTGATTTCTTGCTTTCTTTCAGGTTTTCGTACTCCCTAAGGACAGATAAAATAAGTCTGAGCAAGTCCTAGTATATATGAAGAAGCACAACTGGTGTTTTGAGGAAGTATTGATGGTTTGGGAAGTAAAACTACTGAAGTTCTAGGTTTAAAACTACACAACTGCACTAAATATACAGCACTGAGAATGTGTGGATTTGCTGGAAGTAAAACTTACTTTTTAAGTGAGATGCAGTATATGGAGAGCTGTTCAACTGCAGACTGACCAACACCCATATCAGTGATCATAGCCTCCACCTCTGACCTTTGACCCTGTAGGACCACATCTAAACTAAAGGACAGAAACATATGCAAGAGAGCACATAAAATAAGAATAAAGCTCAGTAAATATTTATTATCCATATAACTTGCATCAAAACCTCAATAGACCATTTGGGGAGTTTGCAAACAGTGATGATGTGTTTTGAGTTTATATCTCACAATTCTGAGAAGAAAAATCATATTTGTGAGATTTTTAAACTCAATATTCAGATTCCCCCCTCAGAATTGTGAGTTTATATCCCGCAAATTGGGCTTTTTTTTCTTAAAATTTTGATATAAACTCCAAATTAGGTGATATAAACTCGCAATTGCTAGAAAAAGTCAGAATTGTGAGATAAAAATGTTATAGGCTTAAATGTTATCTATGTAAAATGTTCATGCTTATACATTATGCCCCCTATGAACTGCACATGTAAATATTATAGATCTATTGTTTACATCACATTCATGCTTTAATAGTAGACTAATAATCTACTAATCATCAGTCCTGTCTGTCCATATAATGACTTGCAATCATAAACGTCATCATTTTGCTTCAAAGTGCGTCGTCGACGAGGGGATTCTATAAAAATGAAGAACATCTATTTTTGCATTCTGATTCTGACATCCAAAGGCAAAACGAGACATTTTTGACCTTATTCAGTGGATCTCGTCCATTTTTCTTCACCACAATGTGTACGCAACTGTGACATTTACAATTACCATAATGGTCAAGTGATTCACACTCAAAAATCAAAAGGTTAATATATTTATTGATTATATGGGCAGATGGACACAAATCCTTCTTTAGTTTGTCACAATGGAAAGGTTTGTGTCTATCTCTCCAAAACAAAATTACTTTGATTTTTGAGTGCAAATCACTCATAAAAATACACTGAATTATTGATGTTGGAAAAAACCCAATCATTCACTCGTTGTCTATTTCTCTATAACTCTCTCACACACGTTAAACTAGGTTAAAAAAGGTTTTTAAACTTTTAGATGCCACAGACCCAATGCTAAAATTTAAAAGGCATCTATCTTTAATAAATACCCAATTTATAAACTGAAAAATATAATAAATTATAAATATAAAATACATTTCCATTAAGATACATTATTATATACATTTACTTCCCACTATAGTAATGTTAAATGTATTATTTATTTAACTTAAAAAAATTTAATGCATTTATATTAATCAATCGTTGTTTATTAATTTTAATCTAATTTAATCTATTTATTAGAATAACAACTACCTATTTTTTTATTTTAATCACATTTTTATTCATTTATTTTAATCTAATTTATTCATTTACTTTTTCTTTTACAGTTTTTCTCTAGACTTTTTCACAGACCCCGGGATTAAAAAACTAAATGTTCTGTCTTAGACACATGACTTGTACCTCTCATAGGTTTTCATTTTGACTCTGAGTCGCTTGGCTTCCTCCTTGGCTGCCTGTCCATCATTTTTCTGACTCTCCAAGAAATTCATCTGTTTCTGAGAATTTCATACACAACAAAAAGAAGACTAGCATTAAATTAGTTCAGAAAGCATGCCAGACTAATAGACACGTTTTCCACTGAAACAAACAAACCCGGAGGACAGAACACAACATCTCTTTGTCTCCGATTTCCTTCCGGACTCTATCCAGGTCCTTCTTCTGCCTCTCTATTGTGTCTTTTAGAGTGTCCACTGACTTCTGCTTGTCCCTCCATTCTTTCTCTAGAATGTACAACATATGCAAACATAAAAATATGAATGGATGGATGGATGGATGTACCAATCAATAACTTGAGGAAATTATATCCATCTTACCTTTTACAGACAATACTGCTTTCATGCGATCAAGCTCATTCTGAAATCGGAACAAGAAAACAAGACAATTTTGTCAATATACGTTGTTAATTAAACTCGGAGCACTGAATAAATTCAACAGCATGCTTTATCACCTGTAAACTTTCGGGGTCCACTGGCGTCCCATCATCCTCTGGGGCTATGTCAAAGAACAGCTTGTTGATAATGTGTCGCGTGCTGACCTTAAACAATAAGAGTGAGGGTTTCATTTCAGTCCAGAAATTTATTTAAATGTACAGAAGAATTAGTTTGCAGATCAAGCCAAAGGTTTACCTGTTTCCTGCATTGTGGACAGGTTTTGCTTGGGGCCGACTGAAACCACTGGAGAAGACTGTTGAAAGGAAAATAAACATGGGCTTTTATAAACATAAACATAAAAGTCTTTTAATGTCATTAAGAAACATTATTCACTTTTTAATTATTCAAACATTGACATTTCTAACTATTTGAATGTACATGCATTAATACTGTGTTTAAATTTTCCCACACCTTTTGACTGATGAATTTTCATAACTTTATCAGCTTTTTTTATATATATATATAATTTTATATAGACTGCATAAAGAGCAATTTCAGCCAATTAAATATTGTTCAGAATAACTAGGACAAAATCATTTAAATTCACTATAGAAATTTACATGACTTGTGTCAATGAGTATCTTGTCTTAAGCAATACGTAATGTTATAATAATTGTTGATATTATGAAAAAAAATATATATACAAGTCTCACCAATAAAAACAAACATGCAGTAGAATGAAAAAGGAGACACTTACCAGACATAATGAAAAGTGTGACCACAGTGAATTGCAGCCACATCTTTGGAATTATCAAAAAAATCCGAGCAGATGGTGCAGTATGCGCGAATGGGCATTGTTGATCTAAAATATTAGACACAAAAAGCTAAAAAAAAACTCCATGTTGATGGAACGTTTTGTGTTTTGTTCTTTACTGATGTGTTGTCTAATACCTTGTGCTACTGGTTTATTACTTCATGTGCTGTATTTACTCACCCAGATGACGCTGAGACGGTTGAAGGTCCTTATTCACACGAATTTGTTCAATTAAACGCCATAACCATGATTAAATGGTTTGTTTTTGGTTTAGTTTTGAGCTCCCGATAACAGCGAAGCAGCGCGCTTAGTTCAAACGTAATGTCTCCTCCTCTTTGATCACGTCATCAACATACGACTCCGAACTGCCTGAGAAATTGACAGCAAATCGTTAATATCAAACCGTTATAGAAAAAGCCAAGCGAGATTTATATGGTTTGCGTGTAAAATTAAATTTGACATAAAAATCGTGTACACTGTATTGAGCAAAGTAACAATACTTAAACAAAACTCAAAACTACACGTTCCCGAATTAACAACTACATTTCCCATAGGTCATCTCTTGTCTTGTGTTGCCTGTTCTGTGACAGTCGGAGTTGATTTTTGACCCAAGAAGACAGGTCAACTTACACTGATTTGGATAAAGACCGTTTAAGGTACAGTTGCGATAAATTGTGTTATTAGGAGTCCAAAGTGTGTGGGCAACATCTGTTAGACGTAATTAAATTGAAGATGGCGCAGAAGAAGATGTCTTGTTGTGAAATTCAACAGTTTTTAGCTCCGTGGCTAGTGCGTTAGCCGGTGTTAGTGGATTTATGCACAAATGAGAAAAATCACAAACCAGGTGCATGAATATCTCAAGACTGGTATTAACATACACTATGTTTTACAGCTTTGAACCGAGGAGCTTTTTAATACGTTACATTGGATTTTAATTAAAAATGTATTATTATGAATTATTATTATAACAATAATAACAGCAATAATAATATTTATTGTTGATATTAACAGTCTGAATTCCTGTGATGTAAATATATGCTAATATTTCTTTCATAATTTCTAATAACACATAACTAATAATATATAAGCATAGATTTGCCTAACAGTTGTTCAGAGTTCTCAAACACATAACTTTCACCCCAAAAATGAAAATGTTGCCATTTTTCCATTGTATAACTTTTTTAAATTGAGGAATTTACTCATTTATGGTTCCTCTTTTAATGTGTCTATCTGTAATTTCACTTCCAGACACTGATGGAAACTCTTTCAATTGTACTGTTGGCCCTTCACGGCTGTAGGGATCATGCAGTGAATCGCTCCTGGCACTGACTGGCACTACAGGACACTGCGTCTTCTCTTATGCCTGATGCCAGGATGGCGGCAGACGTCCACAATAAGGGTGTATCCTGGGAGGTTAAAAATGGCAACTTGGCGCCATCAGATCGACTCCGGCAGGACCGGTCGGACAGTCCGACCCCCGGCCTGGTGGAGGGGACAGAGCCAGGTTAGTTTCACAGTTCACACTCTCAGTTATAAAGCTGTGTAATGATTAGATTTAAATAGATTTTGTTCTTGTCCAAGATTGTAATCTTTATTCATCTTAGAAAGATTATTTGTCACCAAAGTTTTTATGATGCTGTAACAAAGTAGTTAATGAGACCTATATGGTTCTTAAGCCTATATGTTGGTCCTTTATAAACAAACCACACCTTTTTTTCTTAGTCATGCATATCCTCATAATATCCCATTGTATTTCCTGTATTGAGTGATCAAAAAACCCATATGTTTGTATATATGTGATAGATGACTAGAATCTTAGAACTAGTTTAGTCATGTAAATGATTCTTTACAGAAGTTGAAGTTTATCACAACAGTTTCATAATGCTATGAAAGCTTCAAAGAAGTCTTTCGGCTGTTTCCTGAAACTGGAAAGTAAAAGAGTGTGCCTGTATTAAATTACAGTGGCTACTTGGCTTTGTGGGAATTCTTGATCCTAAATGAGTTAAAAGTAGTTTTTAATACATTTAGTTGATATACAGAAGCACCTCAATCTCATTGACTGTCCAGTCTCACTCTTAACCAGCAACCAGCAAGAGCTGTGTTTTTTTTCACAAGAAGCACTTGTTCCTAATTTAAAAAATGTAGGAGCACATGAAGAACTTCAGGGGCGCAATGAAAATGTGAAATTATTCCTGTGATGCAAAGCTGAATTTTTGGCATTATTTCTCCAGTCTTCAGTGTCACATGATCTTTCATAAATCCATCTAGTATGCTGGTTTGGTGATCAAGTAACATTTCATATTATTATCAATGTTTAAAACAGTTGTGCTGCTTAATATTTTTGTGAGAACCATGATAAAATGTTTTAATGATTCTTTGATTAATCTAAAGTTCAAGAGAACAGCATTTATTTGAAATAGAAATCTTTTGTTATATTATACATGTCTTTACTGTTACTTTTTTCAATTTAATGCATCCTTGCTGAAAAAAAAGTATTGTTGAAAAAAAAAATCTTACTGACCCCAAACCATTGAATGTTATATAAAACAATTTTTCAAAATGAGAAGCACAGAATATTTGTAAATTGACTTAATTTGCGTGTTTTTTTACTCAAAATCCACAGAAAAATACTTTTTTATTAATATTATTTATTATCTATTGTCAACACTGTGATTACATTAATGATAGGCCTACCTCAAATCATATAGCTTGTTGAACAGAGGTGTGCTATTACTTTTTTAAGCAATGTGTCACTTCTTCACAGGTGCCGGACAAGAGGGCGCCATGTTTGTTCACGCCCAGTCTTTTGAGGACCTGACTGCTGACAGTGAGTCTAACACTGGTGATAAATCTGCAGAGGTGGGCGACTCCAACCTAGAGAACGCTCAAGAAGCGGCTCTGGAAGGGGGTGAGGAGGAGGCACAGGAGGAAAGCTTAGAGGCTGAACAGGAGGAGGAGGGCAGAGAGGAGATACAGAGCAGGAAAAAGGCAAAAGAGGAGGATGTGACAAGCGAAACGTGGCGGAGTCACAGGAAGCATGTGTTTGTCTTGAGTGAGGCTGGGAAACCCATCTACACACGCTACGGCACAGAGGAGGCGCTCTCCAGCATCATGGGAGTCATGATGTTACTCATGTCAATTGTAGAAGATAGGAAGAATATCATACGCTCCATCCATGCAGGTAGGAAATATCCAGAAATGAAACAAAAAGGAAAATAGCTGATTTTGAAATAAGTGCACTACTATTCAAAAGTTTTGGTTCAGTAAGATTTATTGAAAAAGATTTATACATTTATTCAGTAAGGATGCCTACAGTGTAATGTAATATTGTGTTAACTATTTGAAATATAATCTGTTCTTTTGAACTTTCTGTTAGAATCCTGAAAAATATGTAACACGGTTTCCATATATAGATTGGTGTTAGTAATAAAAAAAAAATTATTGAGCTTCAAATCAGCATATTAGAGTGATTTCTGAAGGATCATGTGACACTGAAGAATGGAGTATTGATGCTGACATTTTTTCCAGCTTTTATGACAGCTGTTTTATCTTTACATTTTTCAAATTTAAATTATACAGTATTTACTGTATTTTTGATTTAAAAAAATCAAATAAATGCAGCCTTGAAAAAAAAGAAAAAAAACTTTCCAGAACTTGAGAATGGTTGTGTAAACTTGTGATAGATTTTTGAAAATTTTTATCAGGAACATCAGTTTATATTTATTTATTATTATGTATTGATAATATTTATTACAATTATTTTTATTTTATAATTAAAAAAAACAGACTTATGGCTTTATATTGTGTTTTAACGAAATGATCAAAATGCAAATGCACTCTTTCATGAGTTTTTGCCCTACAAACAATATAGCATTTTTGTGTAAACATCTCTTTCAGATGGCTACAGGGTGGTATTCCTGCGGAAGAGCCCTCTCATCCTGGTGGGCGTCTTTCGTACAAGCTGCTCCGACCGGGAATTGACACGAGAGCTTCAGTACATCTACTACCAAATTGTTAGCCTGCTAACCCTCACGCAGCTGAACCACGTTTTCCAGCACCGGCAGAGCTACGACCTGCGGCGCCTGCTGGCCGGCTCAGAGCACCTCACCGACAACCTGCTGCGGCTCCTGGACCGAGACCCGGGCCTGCTGCTGAGCGCCGTGATGTGCCTGCCTTTGGCCAGCTCGGCCCGGGACTTGGTCTCCTCCAGCTTGCAGGCTGCTAAAGCCAAGAACCTGGTATTCTCCATCCTGCTAGCAGGAAACAGGCTGGTGACGCTGGTGCGCAAAAAGGACCAGTTCCTGCACCACATGGACCTGCACTTGCTCTTCAACTTGGTCGGCTCTTCGTCCTCCTTCCGTGCAGGCGAGGGGTGGACGCCCATATGTCTGCCCAAGTTTAACCCGGCTGGATTTTTCCATGCACATATTTCTTACCTGGAACCAGCCTCTGATCTGTGTCTGATCCTGGTATCCACCGATCGAGAGGATTTCTTTAACCTCTCCGACTGCAAGAAGCGGTTTCTGGAGCGTTTGCGCAGACGAAGTGCATATCAATCCCTGCAGGAAGCGCTGAACATGCCAAGTTATCCTGTCTCCCAGGTCGGCATACCTGAGCTGCGACACTTTGTGTACAAATCTAAAAGCTCTGGGCTCTATACAAGGTAAGAGTTTAGTGATGATCATCACTAAAAAGTCAATAAATCATGGATAGATGGATGATAGATAGATAGATAGATAGATAGATAGATAGATAGATAGATAGATAGATAGATAGATAGATAGATAGATAGATAGATAGATAGATAGATAGATAGATAAGTTATTCATTGCTTTCTCCTGCCTTTTATCTAACTTCCTGTTTTCCTGTCAGCCCTGATCTTCCAGCACCATACCAGGGAGAAGAGGAGCAAGAAAGGCTGATGGGATTGTACCAGCAACTGCACAGCTGCCTGCATAACCCCACACGCCTCCTACGCTACATTTATCGCTGTGCAGACACTGAAAACCTTTATGCCTTGGTGAGTCTGCTGTAAAGTCCGTTAGATGGATACCTTTCAGAGATTTTGGTTGTGTGTGTGCATTCTTGAGGAGGTATCCAGTTAAAGCCATAGTTCACCCAAAAATTAAATTGAATTTTTTGTCAGAAAATTTGGGCTTAATCGCTTAATACATTTTGATTAGTTTTGCGATCTCTTTATACATTTTTGAAGCATCAAAGTGGTAGTTGCGTCGCTGTCAATGGAGGAACTGAAAGCTCTCAGATTTAACAGATCTTCATTTGTGTTCAGAAGATAAACGAAAGTCTTACGGGTTTAGAAACGACATGAGAGAGTAATAAATGACAGAATTTTCATATTTGGGTGAACTGTTCCTTTCAGTGCATTAAAACCCTGAGGTTTTTGCTGCTTTCTACCTTTCTTACATTGTCAAACCTCAACTCTGTATAGGTAACAAGTGGTTTCGAGCTCTACCTCTGCTTCAGTCCTTTGGGAACAAAGAGCCTTGCTGTATCTGCTGTCAACAAACTCCTAAAGTGGATCAGGAAGGAGGAGGATCGTCTGTTCATACTCAGTCCCTTAACATACTGAGCCAGTTCAGGTAGTTCTCAACACCTGAAACACTAGTGAACGTCTGACTTCAGACTGCTGGAAGAGCAGCATCTGTGAGCCTACGTGAATGCATGAATATGCAAAAGGATGCTGTCAGATATTAAGGGCTTGATTGCTATTTTGAGGGCTACTCACACTGGTGAACTGCAGTCGGTGGAATCAGGAAAGTTTGAAACTGAGTAAAAAAAAAAAAGGTGGGAAAAGTGTTGTGAAAGTAATGCTATATTAACAAATAATTGCTTTTAAATGTGGCCCTGTAACCAGCCGCAAAACATCGAAAGCAGTAAAACTAAATCTATAAAATGCTTACACTGTCTGTACGCTGCTAGAAACTGAACATCTAGGCCTTCACTTTTTATATATATATATATATATAATAGACCTGTCACTGTTTCAACCTAACATCTATAGTTTTAAACGAGCCAAGTTAATAAGTATTACTGATTGCATTAAATAATATTTGAGCTGTGGCCTTCAAATTTCATTATATTCACGAGAAGATTTTATTAATTTTTTTATGTGTGTTATGTTATTGACATTCAAATATATGATGTAGTGGGCCTGAAAGTATAGCTAACCAAACTGACTAGCATTTTATTTAAAAGACATGACTGACTAGGTGCGAACATTGCAAAAACCTGAAGCATGGCTCGATTTAAAGAGGAATCCACTTGTGATTTGGTCTGTATAAAGATCTCCATCTCTTTGGTTCAAATGTTTCAGTGACTGACCATGTGTTGCTACTGAGCGCCTCTCCAAAATATTTCTAAGGACCAATTGAATCAGAGATAATAACTTTTTATATTATGATTTTCTTTTGTTTCATAGATGCACTTGATTGTAAATGTATTACTAATGCTTTAATTTGAATGAATACTGTAATTGACACTGTGTCATTAGGGATTCTAATGCACTCAAGTTATCCATGTATGGTCTGGTTATTCTAGTCCTATGGGAAATCGTGAGATAAATGATGTAGATGATAATGTATGCCAGAGAAAAGTAATTTGTACATCTGGTATTTCAAAAATATTTGTGGTGGTGGCGGCACTCATGCTTATTGTCTAAAGCAATTTTGACACATGCACCAAGTTGAAAACAATCTTAAGAAATTAAATGCATTTACAGAAGACATTTTGCCATGTTTACTTTATAGCTTGGCTCTCTCTTTAGTTTCTCTTTAAAATTGCATGATACTGTTGTGTTTTAGGATATAGGAATGACAGCTTTAGTCATGTCTGATCCAGACATTTATTCTCCTATATAGTTATTTATGAATATAAAATAGCAATAATTAGCAAATTAATAGTATTCCAGACAAATAATCAAAGAATAACATGTTGATTTAATATTTCATATTTGTGTTAAGATTTATTTGTGTCATTAAAAGCAATAAAAGCGTATTTGAGTCTTGTACACTACTGTTCAAAAGTTTGGGGTCAGTGAGATTTTTTTTAAAGTTTTTTTGAAAGAAGTCTTTCTCACCAAAGCTGGATTTATTTAATCAAAAATATAGTAACAATTATTTTGTGAAATATAATTACTATTTCAATATATTTTAAAATGTAATTTATTTCTGTGATGCAAAGCTGAATTTTCAGCATTACTCCAGTCACATGAACCTTCAGAAATTATTCTAATTATGGTTACGTATTTGATAATAAGAAACATTTCTTATTATTATCAATGTTGACATTTTTAGATGATGATGAATAAAAAGTTCAAAAGAACAGCATTTATTTAAAATAGAAATCTTTTGTAACATTAAAAAAATCTTTACTTTCACTTTTGATCAATTTAATGAACCCTTGTTGAATAGAAGTATGCATTTCCTTTAAACAAAACAAAGGATTACTGATGCTTACAGTATAGAGAGAAATTTGGTTACTCTGGTTGTGAATAAACCATGCTATTCATGATGAGATTGGAAAGATGATACAAGGAAAAAAGACATGAAATTCAAAAGTATGCAAATCAGTATTCGTAACAAAAGCAGAAATAAAGAATACTGAAAATATGCTGATGTTCAAATAAAGTTATGATGGTTGCAGACAGTTAATGTTAACTCTCTGGGGTCGGCGGTCTCGCCGGCGATACCAGCTCACTTTTTTCCTTATCAGTGCAAAAGAGACTCAAATTACTCTGTTAATTTTGATCTTACATATAAGTGTTGTACATCATTCGATCCTGTTAAGTTTGTATTTTTTTTGTGGAACCTCATAATAAAAACAAAGTGTTGTGCTTTTCGCCTAATAAAGAAAAATAAACATGATGCGCGTTCTGCGTTCTCTCTGTCAGTGAAGTCCATTCTGAAACGCGTCCGAAAAATCATCTGTAACTCTGCAAATACTCAGTCAAACAGGTATACAGGCACACAGGCATGAAGCCTGAATTATATTCTTTTAAATGAAGTAATTTATATAAAAAAAATTTTTTCTCATTTTATGTAATCTGTACGAAAAGAGAGAGATGATAGTCGTTCTCGTCTCAGCTCATTAAAGTTAATTTGACCACGCCCACGGAGCGCGCGCTCTATTCAAACACAAATGCTCTGAGGCGATCCACGCTCACATCAGCTGGATAACCACCGAAAGAGACTCAGATTTACGACGCTGTGAGGAATAATAGTAGCCTACTATCTTAATAATAATCCTGGAAAAAATTACCTCAGAAGTAGGCTACAGGTAGTTTCATTTGGAGGAGCAACGGATCCAGCCAAAGAAATAGGTACATTCTTTATTTTCAAGTGCTTTGTGCTAATCGCGATATGGAATAGTGTCTGTAAACAAAAAGACTGTTTGAATCGCGTTTTTGTGTGTGAATGAATGAACAGCTTTTACCTAACTATATTCCAATACTGAGATGAGTAAAAATCGACTGAAATATGTTGAAATAAAATATTTTTGTATAAGCAACGTATTAAACTGCAAATTAACATTTATATGTCCTAATCATAAAAACGATATGTTACATATGAAAGACAAGATGTCGTTTTTACTGTAAAATACTGCCACATCAAATAAGCTTGTTTGCTAAGATGTTATTATAGTGTTTGTTCGATTGTAAGCTATATTCAAACTAATTAATCCGCAACTGTGAAATATGTATGATAAAATGTATACTTTAGTATATAATACAAAGAAAGATTACATTTGAAATATAGTTAAAATTTTAATTGTTGTTGTAATTGTAACCTTTTTATTAAAATAGCAAAAATATATGTAGGCTACATATAAATAAATCTTAGGTAAATCTTAGAAGCTCAATATAAGCCTCCTCTTTAAATTATTTGTATTGTGTTTTATTAGTGACACATGGATACATTCCCAATCTTTCTGTAAAAACAGTATGATAATTAACTGCACAATTACTAGAAATTTTTACATTTGATATTATACAATTTGCAAGCACAATTTGAAAAATAAATAAATAATTGGAACTGTGAACCAATTTTGTATTATATAGGCATATAATGTTATCTCTTTCGTATATATATATATATATATATATATTGTCATTGCATTCTTGTGGCTCAGTGACACACCTGAATGAAAGGGTCATTAGTATGCAGCCCCATTATGCGCTCATTATGCGGGCCCATTGTCTTCTCAGGTGTGAATCACAGCAGGTCACACCCCTGCGCATATTGCCTTTCCAAACAAAAAGTGTCATTTTTAAATTTAAACCAATCTATTGTTTTATGTGAATGATAAGGCAGGATGATTTTCAGATCATTTTGAAGAAAAAACTCTAGGCGACAACATCCATTAGTCAAAAGTCTTGTGGACACATATTTAGTATGTGTTTTGTGGCCTTATTTCAGAAACTTTAAGTTTTAGTTTTTTCAATAACCACGCATAAGCAATATTCTCTCAAAAATACAAAAATGTACATACATGTTGATAACACATTATGGTAGCCCTGTGTGTGCTAAATAGAGTGTAATTACACCTTTGCCAGTAATATGTTTATAAGCAACTGAAAAAAGCACAAATGTCAGAGTATGTCAAAACATCTCAAGGACCCCAAAAACACCTTGGACCCCAGAGGGTTTTAATGTATTTGTGTGTTTCACAGAAGTAAGTCATAGAGGTTTGGAACAACATGTGTGAACAAATGGGTTTCCCCTGCTGTCAAGATGTCATATCTTGCAGTTAATAAATAATTCTAAAAATGAAAAAAGGGATGAATGCTAATGGTATTTCTGTCACAATTTAGAACCAATCCTAATGAAATAACATTTTGTAAGAGTAGTTAGTAGTATAGTATGAATCAAATATTCTATTCTGTCCATGAGGCCTTCACACTTCACAGGGCTCATGATGAGGCTGGCACTTCAGGGATGCGTTGTGGTCGTGTCCAGGCGCAGGTTCACCTTCTGACCACTTTTAAATTTGCTTTGATGTCAGGCGCTCTGGCTCCCGGCAAACATGTGACTCTGGTGGCTGGTGTCTCTATTTTCACGTCCCGTGTTATAGAATCGCCATATGGCACATTCAGTAGGATTCACAGTGAGTGTTTCACTGAGTGGGGAGAACCGGTTTAATGTTGTAATCGGAACGGAAGAGCTGTGTTTTGTCCCGCGACTACAGCGCCTCACGGTCACCCAGTTGCCCTGCTGCACGGGTTCTATAGCCGGAACCGAACATTGTACAGAGTTCCCTAAGCTAGTCGCATCCAAAGCAGTATCTAAAACCCTTACACTCTTACAATTAACCTAAATTAAAGTTTGGATGCCTGAATGTCATTAACCAGACAGTTGACGGTAGTAGGGAAAAAAAAACTATTTAAGTCAGTGAAGTACATCATTTACCGACATTCTTCAAAATATCCTCCTTTGTGTTCATCAGAAGAAAGAAATTCATACAGGTTTGAAACAACTTGAGGGTGAGTAAACGATGACAGAATTTTCATTTTGAAGTGAACTATTCCTTTAACAACTGACAGTCTGTTTTCAAAGGTGAACAAAAAAATGTTTATATCCACATATGTAAACATGACATTTGAAGCATAAAAAATATGCAAAAAATGCAGCATGCAAATAAGTCGTAAAATCCCCTGAATGATTTGAATTTGGGGAAAAAACACAACAAACAAACTCAATACACTTTACAGATTCAGGTTTAGTATATAAAATAAAGGGGATATAGGTTGGTCTTACTGAATCATTGTCGTCAAGTTGAATTATATGATTTTAGACTTTACTTGCAGTTTCTTTTAATTTATTTGTATTATTTAAGATTTTTAATTTCTCCAAAAGCTCTCAAAATTCCCAATGGCTCAATCTCATAATAAAGGTATATTATTCTTATTATTAGACTAGACTTTCAGGTTAAAAAAAAAACACAAAACACCACAAGTATCATAAAACTGATCAATAGGATTTGTGTGTTATATTTACATCTTCTGAATCTAACAATACACGTTTTAGAGGAAAGGATTCTTAATAGACAATATATTGTCACGAAATGTATAACCTTGAGTCTCAGACCTTTC